TATATATATTAAAAAAATATATATTTGTTTCATTATTGGGTTACAAATCGTCAATACTTTCTAAATAACATATTAACTTAGCTTTAAACATTAAAAAAAACATGGGAATGTGTTGCGGCAAGACGCTACCCGTATAGACATTCTAGTAATATCTGAATGAAATAAGACAGTGGCGATTGCTTCTTTAAAAGGTTAGATAATAGCATTCCGGGTAAAATAAATTATATACATATTAAGAATGTATGAAACAAATAATTTTTCATCAAGAGTCCAATCTTCTGATCGGTTTAATGAGCTGAGTCTTAATATATGGAAGAAAGCTTTCACTGTTTCATACTGTTAAAAGCCCCTCGGTGATAACAGAAAAATGGAAAAGGCTCATATACTAAAATAGGTTTACTTGTGAATTTTAGAAAATCGAACATGCAATCGGTGACTGCTAAGAGTTCCCAGTCAAAGTAGACAACATAAATAACGTATTCCTTTAATAAGCTGAATGTTACGAATCTCGTCCTAAACAAATATTAAACTTGAAAGGCCCAAAAGTATAGATACTGAGCCGATATGGGTCAAGTTAAGCTTTGGCTTCCTATTTGTATCTTCAATACGTACCTAGGGTAAGAAAACTAAATACGGTAGCTTTCATAGGTACCTCTAAATTTTAAACTTCAAAAAGTTAGAAACGTTTTGCCCAGGCTTTTTAATGGCGTCATGTGTATATATGTACACATTTGTCAATCTACGACCAACGACCGAATTATTCATAATTTGGCGGGCAAACCCGCAGCCGACTTGGGTGTGGACGCGACGAAACCATTGGACCTCGAAACCGGCCCGTATGTATAGTCAAGCCTATTCGATTAGTGTTAAAAACAACGAACGAGACTGGCAACACGGAAACTGTTGGCCAGATATCTGTCAGAGGCAAACCACCCGCGTTGCGACTGCTGTCCGTCAAATTAAAAATGTCTAGGCAAAGCTTGACGATATATAAGCAAGCGGCTAAAACTTTTATTTATTGAAGCTTGTTTTTGTGCAGATCGGTTGACTCTATCAATTGCTTTTGCTTTTCGCTATTTACTCTAAGATTTAATACGAATTAATGTACATTTCTTTTTTTATTTAACTTCTTTTCATTTTCTTTTCTATGATCGCAAGCTTTTAGTCTTTCATTACTGAAGCTTGGTATAACCCATTCTTTGTTAGTTCTCGTAGACTCGGAAAATTGTCAAACAATGTCATTATCTATAGCATATCACTTTATATTCTACGCCGACGATCACCTACCTATCCCATCCAGCTGTAATATTAACTTTTCAAACTTTTCTTTTCAATTGTTTCACTCCTCATCGGGCAGTTCAGGTTATGTCGCGTTGAAAAGTGAAAACGCAAGTACAAAAACCACTTAACTTATAATCCGATTGTATCACTTAGGCAATGCTATAACCAACAGAATGGTAGGTGGATGAATATTATGGTGTGCCTCATAAACGGTCCTTTTTAATATTATCTCTATGTAAAATTAATTTTATTACTGGTTTATTTTCGTTAGTTGTTTTTATTGCTCGTAGAACGTTTATCCCTTCGTAACCAGTGATGTTCGACTTTATCGTCAAAACAAATACCTCCGAAATAACAAAGCGGCGTAGGAGCTCCGGGAGCGAACCTTTATCTACCGATTGCCGCCAAAATGA